GCACTCTGTGGAATAGAAACAATTGCTATTTGAACAAGAGTTAGAAATTTTAATGGCTAGCCTCGCCACCATTTAAACAGAAAAAGGCATGAAATGAAAACTCAGTGTTGTAGGTTTTAAATGGGCATCAGCATCCTGACTTTGCATATGCAACTAAACCTCTCTTCCCCTCACATTGATTTGTCTGATACAGGGATTAGACTAAATACTAAGGTCTATTTGACTTTAGATTTCTATAATTTTCATGTGTGATTTATTAATTAACCTTACTTATTATTATATTTAATATGATTGTAGTCATTGTGAGTGCAGGCTGGAACACCAGACACATATTATCCTATATATATGAACTACTGATTCTGAAAATTCAAAATTAGAAGGAATATTGCTGCTTTTAGTGGCTACTCCAAAAATAGTTGGCCAGTACTTTACTCTGTCACTATCTGAACAAATGGAAAAGAAACCATGTTAGAAAAAACTGCAAGTGCTTCATTTACACTAGAAAACAGTAAACTGAAAAGAAAAAGTAGAGGCGAAAGTTCCATCTAGTGGTTAACATAAAATTCCAAGAAATTTTCATTACCGTATCATGACTGTGTAGGACTGGAATCTCTAGAAATGTCTCTGGGTTCTGCATTAGGAAGAAAACTACTGACTGTTACATATTAACTCATATTTAAAGTAATTAATGGTGGAAGACAGTCTTTCATGGGATGTTTAGAATACTTTGCCCCAAGATAGTCCCTGGGAAAAACATTCCAACATCAGGTGTCTTTGAGAAATGTACTTAAATCCCACTCTTGAAGATTCCCAAAGAATATTAGCATATTAAAACCTCTGGCAAGTCAAGAAACCTATTTTACATAATTTTCCTGACTTTATTTGACCCTAGAACTCTCCCTCTCTCTTTTTAATCTGTGGCACTTTGAGAAATGCCAGTTTGAGGAAGTAATGATCTTAGGGGTATTTGCTTTTAAAAAAGAAAGACTTTTTTTTTTTTGTAGGGGGCTTGTGTCGGATTTTACATTTTTACAATCAGTCTGTTAATACATAACAGTGATGATGGGGTGATGATAATAACAAGATAATACTTTTTACTTTTTAGGTTATTATGCTCATTCATGAATATTTAAGAAACAATCATTTTATGCCAGGACTTGCACAAAGTATTTTAACTGAAAGCAAACAATTATAGTCAATTGTATGCTGATAAATGTTTAACAACAAACATTTCAGATTCACACATTGGTCTCAAATGCTTTGGTTCAGGGATGCCTATAGATTAAATTAGAAAGCCAGAGAAGGTTGTTTTTGGAGATTCTTCCCTTTCTGCAATCCCAGTCTGACTTCACTTTCTCAGGAGCTCGAACATTTTTCCATCCTCTTTCTACTCTTCCTCAGTCAAAACCTCTTTAACTTTCAGTATGCCAGAAAAAATAGTCTGTACCATTTATCACCTGGGTCCAATGGACCCTTTCAAATTTTAATAGCTTTAAGTCATTTCATGATTAATTTACACAAATTAAGAGTGAAGGATATTCAATAAAGCTTTTTTTTTTTTTTAAAGTACAGAGATAGTGGAAAACAACTTTATTAGAGATTTTAGTAAGAATGTAAACTTAGCAAATTCCAGTGTTTATTCCATATCTTCCTGTTTTTGAAGAAATAATACCCAAAATGGGCACTGCCCTCTGAACACAACTGCTCATTACCTGTCATGCATAAATCTGGAACATACCCATCTTGCTAATAGAGATTGCAGATTTCAAATACGTCACTACTAGATCGTAGCTTATTGTTATTTCTCGTTCTTCTTGTACTTGCATCATCAAAATACAAGACTTAAAGAATTTTTTTTGAAACCTTTGAGGGCTCATAATTTTGTTTAAGAGAGAACAACCATCTTCTTTGCTCCCTAATTGTAAAAAATTTGCATTTTTAGTTTTATAAATGATCAATCCAAAAAATTTTTAATTTTTAGATCATCTGTTTCCATCCAGTCATCTTTGTATACACAACTGCCATTAGCATTTGTCCACTTAAGAATCATATCAAGTAAATTTATGCATAGAAACATCATAAAAGATGAAAGAATATCGTAGTGTGCTCTTAGCAAAATGAGATCTTCCAGATTCTTGTTGCAAACTATTGTGCGAAGTTATTGCTTTTGAATGAATAACTGGAGGAGAATACCATATTTCCTTTTTTGCCCTTAGAAATATATTGTTCACTCATTGATTTTTGAATTTGAGAAATTCATTTAGGAATTAGTCATCTAAAGATTCAGGGATTTTGCCATCATCAGGGTCTAGAGTGCTGCTGTCTCTTTGCATTCACTTCTGAATTCTGCATACTCAGCTATGTTCAATGAAAGCTAAAAGCATAGTACAAAGACCTGGAAAGATGCTGCAGTACTTTGGGCATTTCAAAAAGAAAACCGAAGGATGATGCAACAGTGATGACTAATTTCACTATTGTATCATCTTAGGCATTTCTATTATTCTTCATTTTTTAATTTTAGTCTTTTTTTTAAAGGATAGTTTGGGATAATTGATGACCAAGGAAGAAATAATTCTAAAGATGATGAAGTGGCAGAATGTTTCAAGATATAGGAAAAATAAAATCACTAAAATCCCATGATGTATCTTAGGTTTACACGAGTCCAGTGGACCCATATATTAATTGCAAATAGAATGAATTTTATTTTTGTTGTGGGGGGGATGGCTGGCCAGTGTGGGGATCTGAATCCTTGACCTTGGTGTTCCATGCATAACCAACTGAGCTAACCAGCCAGCCCTTATTCTATTTTTTAAAAAGTAATTTTTCTCTTTGTTTTTTGAGAGGCCTCTAAGAAGGAATAAAAGTCATGAAATAGAACTGAAACAACAACAAAAAAACCCCTGAAAAATGAAAGTTGGCTTTACTAGATCCTGATGGTACATCTGAATTTAAACTCACTCATCTTAAAGTATGTCCAGACAGATACAAATTAATTTGTTGCCCATACTAACATCCATTTCATTGCAGTAGGGAACAAAGCCTCTGTTCAACTGAAAACAAAGGAATTACAACTTTTTAGACTTCATTGAGCTGGGTTGAGAAAGATGCCTTTTGGGGACCATGAAATGAGTGAAATTACCAAAGGTACTACACTTTGATTTATTCCTCATTGAATTCCAGGGTTCCTGGGGATCTTCTCATCTGTGTTGCTATGGTCTGAATGTTTGTGTCTCCCGAAATTCATATCTTGAAATTCTAACCCCCAAGGTGATGGTGTTAGGAAGGAGAGCCTTTGGAAGGTGATTACATCGTGAGGGCAAAACCCTTGTGAACAGGATTAGTGCCCTTGTAAAAAAGACCCTAGAGAGCTAGCTAGCCCCTTTCACTGTGAGGACACAACTAGAAGTTACCATTCAGAAAGCAAGCCCTCACCAGACACTGAATCATCTAGCATCTTGATCTTGGATTTCTCAGCCTCCAGAACTGTGAGAAATAAATTTCTGTTGTTTATAAGCTACATTGTTTATGGTATTTTGTTATAGCAGCCATAATTGACTAAAACATATGTCTGTTTACCCTGCTAATTCTTGGATCTTGTTTCTTTTTGTGAATGTCCTTATTCCACCTTTATCACATTGCCCAGTGCTGTTTACCTGCTATGCTTGGTTAAGAATCCTTGTTAAGGTAGCACCCTGAACCCACTTTGCAGACCTACACTGAATTTTGGCTTTTGATTCCCATTCCTTCTTCAAGGTTGTATAAAAATTTGACAGGCAAATTCATCCTCTTCCACCTTCCAAAACAACCTTAGCATACACACTGTAGAAAGGGAAAGAGATGTTGGATACTACCTTATTTCTCATAAATACAAGCTTTGAAGAACAGGAATTGAATCTTGTTTCCCATCTCATACAATGCTGATGGAGTTAAGCATTGCAAGATTTTAGGCGTTGTCATATCTGGAATGAATTCCATGAGCAACCCCTTGCTGAAGAATGAGGTTGCCTCAGACCACGAAGGTAGAATATCTTTCTAACTTGTTGCTGTCCTGTTTTGCTCAGTTCTTTTCTTGAAAAGAGAAGCAGCAAATGCATCAAGACTAATCATCCAAAGATTGGACTGTGCCTATCGTTGGGGGTGGGTTTGGTGGAGATGGGTGGCAGAAGCAATGTAGGAGGAAAAGAAATAAATATGGGCCGACCCCCTGGCTCACTCCGGAGAGTGTGGCGCTGGGAGCGCAGTGGTGCTCCCGCCGCGGGCTGGGTTCCTATACAGGGATGGCCTGTGCGCTCACTAGCTGAGCGCGGTGCGGATGACACCAAGCCAAGGGTTCTGAACCCCTTACCGGTCACACACACACACACACACACACACACACACAGAAATAAATAGGCTGATTAGGAATGCCTAAATAGCATGTAAATTCTTCGGGGCTAGGGATTTTGACTTACTCTATTTACATCGTATCACCAGCGTCTCAACTGTGCCTGACACATAGTAGACGTTCAGTAAATATTTGTTGCTCCAAGTGAAATAATGAACTTCTCACTTTGTTTTTTTAAGAGATATGGTTGTGCGGTACTCAGAGTCAACCAGGGGCCTAGAGAAGAGGATGCCTTAAGAGGACGCCTCCACTTCTAGGCGAGCTGAGGAGTCTGAGAGGCAACAGACGTTCTCCACCCTTTCTGCGGTCTGCAGGGGATAAAGACCGCGTGGCTCCCGGGAGAAGGGAAAGGCGCTCCACCAGCACCGCCACTCCCCCGCTCCTGCTCCCTTGCCCGGGTTGTCCCGGCCCTTGGGCCCCTCCGGCTCCACCCCGCACCCTCTCCTCCCCCGCCCCTCGGATCCTCTTCTTAAACTCCCAGGTCCCTCCGCCCCCTCCTGTAATTCCTTTCCCCGCCCCCTTATTTCTCACGCCCCGCCCTCTCCCCCGCCCCTTATCCTCCGCCCCGCCCATCCTTCCCCATGCCCCTCCCCTCCCCCTCCTCTTGACGTGGCAGAGGTGGCTCCAGCCATGTTGGCCGGGCCCAGGGCTTCGAGGAGACGGGGGGCGGGGCGGCGCCGGCCCTGATTGCGGTGCCACTGGCTGCTGCTGCTCGGCGGAGAGAACTGATTTTGCAAGGCCGAGGTTGCGACCGGCGCGGATCTCGTAGGGTGGGCACTGAGGTAAGGACCGACTTCAAGGCCGCCTTGTCGGCTGTACCCGAGGGCCGTTGGCGCTCGAGGGAAGCCCGGGCGGGGCGGCGGCGGCGGGCCGGGGTCTTGGGGTGGTCCTGGCTCTGCCCTCTCGGCTCCCCTTGGTAGACGAGGCGCGCTGGCGGCTGCGACCGGGTAGGGCGGGGGAAGCATTAAGCCTATAACCTGTCACCCTCTCACCCACCACCCCCTGCTTCGCTCTCCGGGGGCCCGGCCCTTTCATCCAGCTGCCCTGGATTAGATGGAAATAGGGGGGTCGGGTGGAAAAACGGCAGTTCGAGTGTCTCGCCCAGCACTCATCCACGCCTTTTGGGCGACCCGCCTTCCCCACCCCAGCCTATCGTTTCTGGGCATTTGGGCTTTTTAGTTCATTCCTTGCCTGGTCTGAAGCATCCTAGACTTTGAACCGAGGTGACTTCGTCACCCGTAATTCGGCCTTCCGAGTTAAAGGGGTTGTGGAGAAAAGTGTCGGCTAAAGCTAATGCCTTGGGCTTTGATCATACCAGATCAGTCTTCTCCGGTTGGTCTTCCATTCTGCCATAGTGTTTTCCCGTTTTGATGAGAAAGATAGTATCTAAGGAAAGTCATAGTAAATCTTCCTGTAATCACTGGAGTGGAGATGATGAATTCACATTTTCACATGAACTTTCTCAACCTCCACCCACCAAAGCCCATGGATAACTAATCAACTTGGTTAAAAATTTTTTTTGTTTAAATATAGATTTAAACATAAGTGCATGAGATGTCTTCTCTCTCTTCTGCAGTAATAACATTATTTCAGAAGTCCAGCCATTTTTAATTGACTCAGTTTTAGAGTTAATTGGGACCTTGTAGTTTTCCTGCTGAAATCCCTCAATTTACTGATGAGAAAATTGAGGATCAGGGAAGTTAAGATGTTTAACAGGATTATGAAGCTAGTTATCAGAAGTAGTTGAAGACACTTCACTGAGGATTTTACAACTGGAAAGTAGGAGAGGCACGCTTAATTGTCTAGTAGCAAATACATCTGATTGGAAAGAACTCATTTTTTTTTAAAGATGATGGGTAAGAGGATCTTAACCCTTGACTTGGTGTTGTCAGCACTGCACTCTCCCAAGTGAGCCACAGGCTGGCCCTGCAATTTTGTATTTTTTTTAATAAGGATGTAAAAAAGGGCTAAAATTGTAATATTGAAAAACTAACATAGGAAAAGTCTTTTAAAATACTGTGGGCTTGCATTTGATATACTAAGTTAAGGTGACATAATGCTTTGCCTCTTTGCTTTTAGTTCTGCAGTGAGAAGTTACTAAAGTAGTTCCCACTGAAAAATTGTGCTGAAAAATGGGACATTTCTTTAGAGTAGTCTTTTGTGCTTTATATCACTTTTTTAAAAAAAGACTAGTATGTTAAGTCTGCATTCTGATATAGTGTTTGAATAATATTTGGTTTATGCTTTTATGCAAACTTGTTAATATTAGGGGAGTGTTTGTCAAATAGTGCCATATTGTGAAAAGCCAGTTTGTAAAAGTACTTTATTTCATGTCCACTGGCTGACATATTTTGTACTTGAATTAGTGATTTTAAGATTGAGCAATTCCTACTTTGGAAAGGTGAAGGAAATCAGGGAGGTGTTGTGCATGGCCCTGTAATTGGACCAATTAAGAAGAAACAGGTGAGACTTTTCTTCAAAATACTGCAAAGTAAGAATGTAAGAAATAAAATGAACTGCTATAAAAATAAAGAAAAAAATTGTGTCTAGGGAACAGAAAAAAAGAAGTATAATGGATGTGATTTGTCAAGCAATATTATCTTAGAACAGAGATTGAGAGAAGAAAAGTGTGAGGAAGAGAAGGGGGATTGTGCTCAAATATCACTCAGGTGATATTTAATATGCCATAATGAAAAGTAAACATGTAGAGTTACAAATTGAGTCTGTTACCTGTTGTAGAAACTTAAACCTGACTGCTGCCTGGGTGTGAATGTCTTCTGCTGAAATCCTAGAACCTTTCTCAGTGGGATTCCCTAATGGTCTTAAGGCAGTGGTTCTCAGGACCCCTTTAGGCTCTTAAGTACTATTTAAGATCCAAAGAAAGAAACTGGCTTAATAAATGACGGGTAGGTTTTCATATATACTTCTGCAGTCTATTGAGATATATTTTGGGGGAATCATATGAAGGAAACCTGGCCTCACATAGATAGAGTTGGAAAAAGAAGAGATATTTCAATAGCTTTTTCAGATAATTGTGCATATTCTTCTCTGATACTACATCAACATTCAATAGAGTTTTAATTGAGAAATTAACTACCCATGCATGATATTGTGACGTTATGACTTGGCCATTTGGGAGCTATAGCTTCACTAAGTAATGTATATCTTCCAAACGTTGACGTGTTTCATTATAAAATATCAAAAACACATTAATACTAACACTGATTTCATCAGGAAAATCTTATATTAGAAAGCTGTTAAGCTCGTGATAGTGGATACAAGTTTTCAAAAATTTTGGTGTTTGCTTGAAAGCTCAAATATTATCATTTGCAACAAATACTGTCAGCTTGCTTTCTATGAAGTAAAGAGATAGGCTCATTTTGTCCAGTTTTTGAGAAAATGTCTGCTAAGTACCTAAGTACTAGTTATATACTATCCTTGGGCGAATTGAGAAAATAGTCATTCAAAACATTTTTTGTGTCTTGTGTTTTAGATGAACAACCATGATTGGTCTAGTATGTTTTAGTGAGTATTTTAATGCTTTTTGGAGATGCATTTTAAGTTATAGGTGCGATTAAATAATAAACAAAAAATTCCATTTACTCTATGTTCTGCGGCAATAATGGGAGAGATCGCTTAGTCCTAAAATTTATATTCACATCTGTAGCATAGAAGCTGTTGATAACTAGATCCTGCTCCCAGGTTGTTTTTCCTTTTATTGCCACCCATGTTAGAACTGAGTCTGGCATCTTTTAACTCCCCTCTGACTATCCCAGACCTTTGTTTTATTATTATCTTCAACAGCCACTTTTCCTTGAAAGCTCATACCATCCTTCTCAAAGCTGTCTTCTATATTTACCATCAAGACAGTCTTTTCTTAACAAGTTAAGTCTTGTTTTAGGATTCCTCTTTACCCTTTATACACCTTTGAAGAATCCATGATCTGTTTTGATTAGCATAAAATTTTCTAGTTGTCTCCAAGAGTCTGGCGTGATAAGAGAAAATACAGTGTTTTCTTTAATTTTCATTTTCCTACTTTTTTAAAGAAGAGAAAGTTCTTAGCTGCTTGGCACACTTAAGATTTGTTAAGCTTCACTTTCTGTAATTTGTGTTATCAAAATCTATTTGAAAATTTTTCTGAAATTAAAATTGTTATGTCTAACATGTTTTTTTCCAAATAATACCTCTCCTCCCCTCACTTAACATTTTAGAATCAGTTTCTCATTCCACCATCATTCTTAGCAACTTTAACATCTGTGTTGGTTCTTCTGGCACCCTAGGCTCATAATTCTTCAGTTCTTTTAACTTGATGTCTTTCATATCTGCCACATAGCAATTGAAACTCAGTCTTACCATACCTTTAAATTCTTCCTCTTCTTTGTATGACTAACCACTGTTGCAGTTTGACAGCATCAGATAGAACTGTTGCCTAGGTAGGAAAGCTGGCATCCTAGGTAGGGAGTTTAGAGAGTAACAAAATGGAGATGTCTCTTGATACTGGACCTCCCCAGAGTGGCAATCTTCTTTCTTCTGATGGTAAACTGAAATTATTAGACTCAAATTATATATCTCAAATTAGAGTTTAAAATGCCCTCATAAGTTGGAATGATAAAAATATTCCGAATTAAATTTCTGTAAAAGAGGTTAAATGATATATAAATCATGGGAAACACCAGTTATCAAGCATTTTATTTACTGTGCCACAAACATCCTGTATTTGTGCAATAAAAAGATTACCTGCCTAAACTAGGAGTACCCGGTTTTAGGAAAATCTTTTTGTTATGCACCATTAAACATTCTGTTCTACAAGTTTAGTGGAAACTTGTCATTTTCTGGATAGAAAAGTATATGAATTTTAGAAAGTTATGATTTTGATATCTGTTTATTAGAATAGTATAACTTACAAGGCTGAAAATGAAAATAAGATCTTGATTTCCCCCTATTTTTGCCTTTCTTTCCTGTATACCCTTAAATAAATTTTTTAAAGAGTTCATTAAAGGGCTGGCCCGGTGGCGCACTTGGTAGAGTGCGGCGCTTGGGAGTGCAGCGGCGCTCCCGCCGAGGGTTCGGATCCCATATAGAGACCGGTCCGCTCACTGGTTGAGCACGGTGCGGGCGCGACACTGAGGGTTGCGATCCCGTTATCGGTCACGAAAAAAGAGACAAAAAGGGGAAAAAAAAAAAAAAAGTTCATTAAAAAGTATGAAATACCTCTTATTGGGCCTAAGGGAAATTGGGTTCTGTAGAGCCATTAATTATTTTATTATAGATAGGGTTATTGTTGCTTGGTAGTTTTTTCCTAAGATAAGTATTTTCATTTGGTCATGATTTCTAATGTGTTAGTATTGCTGAATGTGGGAAGAACATACTTATTTTGAATCTTAAGAGGCTTCTGGATTTTTGAGTATCTTTTAATTTTGTTACAGAAATAAGAATCAAGCTCTACAATGACAACCTATTTGGAATTCATCCAACAAAATGAAGAACGAGATGGAGTTCGATTTAGTTGGAATGTCTGGCCATCAAGTAGACTGGAAGCTACCAGAATGGTTGTTCCAGTGGCAGCCCTATTTACGCCACTGAAGGAGAGACCTGACCTACCGCCTATTCAATATGAACCTGTTCTATGTAGTAGAACCACTTGCCGTGCAGTTTTGAATCCTTTATGGTAATTAAAATATATGGAAAAAGCTATTGTGACAATACAATTAAAAAAATGCAGATTTTCTTGCTCACTTATGCAAAAATACCTTTGTTTTTGCTTATATTTTTTCATATTAGAACAAAGAAATCCAAAGAGCTCTAAAATTTTAGGATCATTCTAGTTGCAGTGAGTTTATAATATAAAGAGACCAAATGTGAAAGTGTCACTGTAAAAACCGTTACATCCTATAAGTGTTTTCTAGATACTGGTGCTGGCCATCAACCCATCTTATGTCATTAGAAAAGTCATAGTTGAGTGGCATGGTGTTTGAAAAATGTTATGATTTTTTGTTGCTTAAGCCAGAATCTCAGGAATCATCTTTTATTCCTCTCCTCTTTTGTTCAACTCCCTCTCCTCCCGTCTGGTCCATCAATTGTACCTCCAGAACATTACAGATTTTGTTTCTTATACTCAATCCCTGCTAGTACACACTACTTCTGGGCAATTTCAATATCCTCCTAAGTGGTCTCCCTATTTCCATTCTCATCGTTCAGCAGTCTGTTCTCTACCCAGAAGCTAGAGTTTTATGAATGGAAATCATAGCTCCTCCAGTAGCTGCTGCTTATACTTGGAATGAAAAATCCAAACCCGTTTTCAAGACCTTGAAGCCTACATTATCTAGCCTCTCTATTTCTGCCTTCATTTCATATTATCCATTTTCCTTATTCTGATTTACATAGTACCTTCGCCCTATTGCTGCCTTTCTGATTCTTGAACATACCAAACTTATTCCGACCTTGGACCTTGTACAGTAGTTATGTATTCTTCCTGGTTTGCTCTGTCCCCACGTGTTCCTGTGACTGATTACTTTTCATTCAGGCCACACTTCAATTGACTAAGAAGTCTTTCCTTTAAAATAGCCCTCTCAAACACATTCTCACATCCTGCTTTGTTTCCTTTAATCTTTATCATAACTATCTAAAAGTATTTTCTGTGTTTGTGTATGTACTTGTCTTTTGTCTGTCTTTCTCTTCTAGAATGTAAACTCCACGACAGTAGGGACCTTTTCTCTTGTTTCTCTTGCTGTATCATCAGCACCTAAAATAATGGTTGGTACATATTAGGCATTCAATAAATATATTTTGACTTGAATAAATGTTTTCTAGGTCTGGGTGTAGGTGTTACTAAAGTCATTTGAAGAAAAAAGTAGGATTATCTTAATTTTATTGTTTACTTGCTGTATATTAAAAATTATTTTATATTTACCATTTAGGTGAACTTGTATGTGTTAAAAATATGAATTAGATATTGGCAACATGGCTTGCTGGTAACACCAAGGTCATGGGTTCAGATCCCCATACTGGCCAAAAAATAAAAAAATTAAAAAAAAAAAGTACATGGCTTTTAAAGATCACTTTCACTATCAATTTGAATGTGTTCATCTTTTGTAAAGAAATTAATTTTATTAAACTTAGGATCTTTGTAAAATTGAACTGCAACATGAGCTAATATATCTTTTCTTAAAACAGTCAAGTGGATTATCGAGCAAAACTCTGGGCTTGCAACTTTTGTTATCAAAGGAATCAGGTAAGAAAACCCTCATTACAGATAGTAATGCTATCATACTAGTCATTTAGAAAAATGCATATTTAAAAATAAAGGTAAAATAATTATTTTCATATAATGAAAATATCTATTTTAATAATTAAATGATTAGGAAATAATTATTTTCAGTTTTAAATTTTATTACTCTTTCTGGAAATGATTTGTTAAAAAGTTTTGTATTTTTTTCTGTTCATAGTTTCCACCTACTTATGCTGGTATATCTGAACTGAATCAACCTGCGGAGCTTTTACCTCAGTTTTCTAGCATTGAATATGTAGTTCTGGTAAGGACATAATAGCAAATATTTAAGAAGGTTTTAAATATCTGGTAATATACTTTATAGCAAAATAATTGTTAAATTGTGATGACTTGAAAGCCATCATTCTTAATTTTCACATGGAATTGATGGAACATTTCAAAGGTAATAACTGTCAAGGTCAATTTCACCACGATTATTTCTCTGTTGTAGATATCTGATAGGTGGCAAAGATACTGGGTAGGGTGATATGATTTGTTATACTGAGTAGATCAGTAAACAATAAAGTATCAGTCTTGCTTTGTGGTTGGAAGGTCATTTCACAAGTATTTAATCAATATAATGCTGGAGTCTTTTGATATATCTGCAAGTCTAATTAATGAAAATATTCTTGCATTGGTCCTTGTTAGGAGCATCTTTTTGCTTTTCTCTCTGAACGTAGTTATTTACATACTTAAATGTGGAAGTAATAATATCCTTTATGAATGTTGTAGGGAAAACAGTGTTATGGTTCACTTGAGCCAGTCAGTAATTTGTCCAGCCTGGCTAGTTTCTGGTTTTCTGAAAATCCAATTCATATTTAGATAATTATTTTATAAAAATGACCTCAACTTTGGGGCCAGCCCTGTGGCTCACTCAGGAGAGTGCGGTGCTGGTAGCGCCGAGGTCACAGGTTTGGATCCTACATAGGGATGGCTGGTGCACTCACTGGCTGAGTGTGGAGCAGACAACACCATGCCGAGGGTTGCGATCCCCTTACCGGTCAAAAAAAAATAAAAAAATAAAAAAAAATCACCTCAACTTTGCTTTAAAACTTATAGTTGTTATTTTCTTATTTTAAAAGTAGTAAATACTAGTTTTAAGGAATGAAACCTCATGCAGTTAAATAAAATGGTAAGTGAAAATCCCCTCTATGTAACTATTTTTCACTCAGTGATGGTGTGTCTGGGATGTTGCTCCATGACAACATATATAACCTGTTTCATTTCTGAAATGGCTTTGTTAGGATTACATTGTATGCATTATTTAATTAGTCCTCTATTGACTGTCTTATATATTGTGCTAAAGTATTAATACCTTTTAAAAAACCTTATTTGTTCTTATTATTGCAAAATTTTTTAAAAGCGTGGTCCTCAGATGCCTTTGATATTCCTCTATGTGGTTGATACTTGCATGGAAGATGAAGATTTACAAGCCCTGAAAGAGTCCATGCAGATGTCATTAAGTCTTTTACCACCTACAGCTTTGGTTGGACTTATTACTTTTGGGAGAATGGTGCAGGTTCACGAACTTGGATGTGAAGGCATTTCAAAAAGCTATGTCTTCAGAGGAACAAAAGATCTGTCTGCCAAACAACTGCAGGTAAACAACAACAACGGTAGTTTCAACCTATCTGTGAACATCACTATCTGTGTGTTTATGAATGCTTTCTGGATATATGTATCTAGAAAATATTTTTATTTTTGTATTATAACAAAGGCTTTAGGTTAAATGTTGACATCAGTTTTCTTTCATGTGCCTCAAATTGTTATCATACAGATTGAAGACCCTTCACTTTTAACGGTATCTTTAATTTTTAAAGTGAAACTGAAGGTATTTTTTAGAGATTTGAAATAATTACAGAAGAGTCATGCTGCAGGCTAAGAAATCAGTCACAGAATATTAGCTTTTGTTTTTTGACATCCCACTTAAGAACTAAACACTTTTAGTATTTTTGGCAAGGAGAGAGATTTTGAAACGTGGGAGTTATTAACATATGAACTATGGGTATATATATTTTCAGTGATATTTATCATTGGGGTAAGTTGAAGCTTTATTTTTCAAGGCAAGGAAGTTATGTGTAGCAAAATAGGATCATTTGGGGATAGTTTTCAAAATCTTTTTTCTGCCCAGGGATTTTGATAGCCCATGAGTGAGTGAATGTGTGTTTGTACAGGGAGGTTCTTGGGAGGGTAGGATTGTTCATCTAAGTACTTTGAAAAAACTTTCTAAGTGATTTTGTTACAACCCCCAGTTGAGAACAGTTACCCTAGAAAATGATAGATAAGCCTGGCATGAAGTAGACCATTAAAGCAGACTTTGAAGGCATCCAGATAGCCAAAATGAAAAAGAAAGGAAGAGAAGATTTTTAAAGATGACTCTGATTTGAAGCTTCACAGACTGGGATAGTGGTGCTGCAGTTAACTAAGAGAACATGATGGAGGAATCTGCAGGTTTGGATGGGGAGGATAAGGAGCAGGGAATGAGATTGCGAATGAGTAGTGAATAAGATTTGAGGAAATGGAAAACACTGAATTTGTTCTTTTAAGAGGTTTGTCTTTGAAGGTAAGGAAGGAGATAGTGTGAGAGTTTGAGAGAGAACTGAGTTGAGGAGGGACACTTGAGTTTATACACAGAAGGGAAAGAAAGTAAAGAGGGTGAGTGGAACCAAAGTGAGATGAGAATGAGGTTTCGGAAGACATAGTAGGGTTTCCTTCAGGAGCACAGGAAGCAGTACGTTGAAGACCAGAATCATCTGTTTTCATGAGATGGGAGGCAAGTTTTAACCTCTCTGAGCCTTAGTTTTTTCATCTGTAAAATGGAGATGATAATTGTATCTACCTTACAGGGTGATCATGAGCATTAAATGGATTGTGCCTTTAAGTGTTTGCTTTTATTAATGTTATTATTAAATTATAAATTTATTTGGAGTGATTTAATGTTAGTTCTGATTATAGAGCACCTTTTACTTACATAATACCTATATAGCATATAAAACAGCTTCCTTTTCGCAATAGGCAAGTGAATGCCTGCAGACTAAACTTTTTTTCTCCGTTAAAACGTTTTTATCTTCTTTCTCTATCCATCTGGTTGAAAAGAACCTGTTCTTTGCTACCCATACAGTTCTGGATTCCAGTCTTAAACTCTTCTAGTCATATGATCTTGGGTTGATCTCTTTGATTATTTTCTCATCCTTCATGGAAAGGAATAAACAATACATGTTTTGCAAAGTTATCATTAGTACTAAATGAAATAATGTGAGACTACTCAGTATTGTGTAAACCCTTATAAGGCTTTGTAGCAAAACCTGGATTAAAATCTTGCTTTGTTACTTAGTAGTTGTGTTACCTTAGGCAAATCACTTAGTTTTTCTTATTGTCAATTTTCATTTGTAATGTAGAAATTGTGAAATTTGCTTCATTATTTTCTGAAGAGGTAGTATATATAAAGAGTTCAGCACAGGATCTGGCACGTAATAAATCCTTAGTAAAAAGTTCTGCTACCAATATAGGGAATATAGCAGGATTAGTTCAATAATTTTATCTTTGCAGATCTTTAGACTTTCTGGTTTTCTGTTACATACTTTTACTCTGTTACTTCATGACTAAGCATTTCTAGATTCAAGAAAACTTCAGTAAGATAACTTTTTCATGTGTCTAGAGAGGAATTGTGCATACATCTGAAATTCAAAACAAAACCAGCATTTTGGTTAGGCATTAAGTTAGAAAATTAAGACACATGCAGGGTATGTGTACCTTATAACCCCCCCTTTATGTGATTCCATGTGCTTGTTCATAATGCTTATTACATTTGCAGTTTTACACATACCTGATGATTTTATTAATTCCTTTCTGTTTCCAGATTTTAATTTCCAAGAGGGCAGGGACTACTTTTTCACCATCATATTCCTGGCACATAGCAGGTGCTTAAGATACAGTTGCTGAAAGGGGTGAATGAATATAAGTTAAGAAGTAGTGACATTTAAGTTACATAATAACTTATTTTTTTTTTTTTTTTGTCTTTTGTCTTTTTTCTGTGTCCGGCAACGGATCGCAACCCTCAGTGTTGCCCCCGTACCGGACCGGGGACCGGCAACGGGATCGCAACCCTCGGCGTTGCTTCCACGCCTCGCTCAGCCAGTGAGCGGGAACCGGTCTGTATGTGGGATCCGAACCCTCGGGCGGGAGCGCCACCGCGCTTCCCAAGCGGCGCACTATCCAGTGCGCCACTGGGCCGGCCCATAATAACTTATTTTGACTATTAGAAATAAAGTAAATTTCTGAGCTAGTATCGTTTCTCTTTGCTCACGTGACACGTTGTACTTTGCTTTGTCATGATATTGTTTTTCTGACAGTCTCCCCAGCTGGACTGTTTGCTTTCTGAGGGAAGAGACCTTGTGTTTTTTATTTTTGTGTTCCTTTTGTCTAGCACAGCACCTTGCACAGTAAATAGTTGATAAATCTTTGTAAAAGTAATCAAATGGATATCACACAAATAATCTCTTTACAGGAAATGCTGGGACTCTCTAAAGTACCGGTTACTCAAGCAACACGTGGTCCTCAGGTACAGCAGCCACCTCCTTCCAATAGGTAATAATTAAATATGGCAAAGAGAATTTTATAATTCATGTAGCTATTTTAAGCATCCCATACCCTTAACTTAAGCATAGGCATTCAGTAATACTTTATTGTTAAATATTTCTAGGAATATAAATAGATGGCATTAATATACTTTTTAAAGAGTTGAGGCAGATTTGTATCACTGAAATGGTTTGTTTTTCATCATTGCAGTGTAAGGAGTTACTTTAGTGTAGATATATTCCTGATTTTCTAAGTTCAGAAAAACTTAATTTTTGTAGTTTGAGGACAGCCAAGCAAAAATAGGGGCCCAAAAGCTTTTCCTTTTGTCATCTTAGCCTTAGAAGTAGCTTTTCCCCCTAAACTTTATAATTAGAGGTGGCATTACTGAAATTGAGTTGATACATCTTCTAATTATTTCAATAACCTTAAAACTTTCCAGATTAATAAGTGGAGAATGAAGTCCTGAAATAATACTTGATTTGAGTGTTTCATTTACAGCAATTGTACTCAAAGTGTGATTTCTGGACCAGTAGCATATTAGTATCACCTTGGAACTTGTTTGAAATGCAGATTCTTGGGCCTGACCCTAGACCTACTGAAACACACTCTAGAATTGGGGCTCAGCAATCTGTGTTAAAACAAGCCTTCTGATTCCGATGCACATGAAGTTTGAGAGCTGCTAGTCTCCTGTGAATTCAAAGTATTATTTTCTATTTTTAGGAAAGGGAACAATTTGTTTCTGAAACCCTCACCCACAAACATTTATAAATGGCATATTTAATTTTGTTTTGCAGATTCTTACAGTCAGTACAGAAGATAGACATGAATCTCACAGATCTTCTGGGGGAACTTCAGCGAGACCCTTGGCCTGTACCACAGGGAAAGAGACCTTTGCGTTCCTCTGGAGTGGCACTTTCCATAGCTGTAGGACTATTGGAGGTAGTGATGATGGTTTTGTTTTGGAAGGTCAATGTGTGTGTGTGTGTATGGAATTATAAAGATACAGGAAAAAAGAGAACCAAAATGCTTTTTTCCCCTATTCTCTCAACAATCAACACAGAATACTTCTGTTGACCTCAGATGTGTGGGTTTTTTCCCCACACACCAACCAAGCAGTTCTACAGTGGATACCAACTGGACGTCGTATAATTCAATTCAGTTCTGATGCTGTCTACCTGGAGATAGTGTTAGATCCCACAGATTGAGGGCTCAGTCCCACAAGGCTGTCCACCACTTCAGATACCAATCACAGGTAGTAGATTGTCACTTGTACTTCTGACCTACTGGCTATAAATTGGGAGTTCCCATTACCTCCTCCTTGGGTTTAATTAATCTGCAAGAGCAGCTCACAGAACTCAGGGAAACACTTTACTTATATTTACCAGTTTATAAAGAATATTAAAAGGATGAACAGCCAGATGGACGAGATGCATAGGGCGAGGTATGAGAGAAGGGCAAAGACTTCTGTGTCCTATCCTGGGGCGCCACCCTCCAGGAACCTCCATGTGTTCAGCTATCCCATCCAGAAGCTTACAAAACCCAGTCCTTTTGGGTTTTAAGGAGGCTTCATTATGTAGGCATGATTGATTACATCATTGGCCATTGGTGATCAACTTAACCTTCAACTCATCTCACTTCCAGGGAGGTTAGGGGGTGAGGCTGAAAGTCCCAGCCCTCTTATCATATCTTGGTCTTTTTGGTGACCAGCCCTCATCCTGAAGCTATCTAAGGGCCCCCAGCCACCAGTCATTTTATTAGCATGCAAAAGATGTTCTTCTTTGTCACTCCAGAGATTCCAAGGCTTTTAGTGATGAAGACCAAATATATGTTTCACAATATCATTGGGATGATAACTGCAAGATGAGTGAAAAAATCAGATTATAGGACAGCAAGTATATAATTTTATTTATGTAAAGCTTGATCTGCAGTATATTGTTTTGTGTATAGAAAGGATTCTGGAAATATGTTCACACAAATGTTAACAGTGGTAGAAGAAGGGGAATTTTACTTCTAAGTAGAATTTGAAAGTTTATACTATACATATCTTACTTTTATAAGTGTAAAAAAGAATTTGTTTTGGTGGCTGGTTGGTACAGTAATCTAATCCTGGACCTTGGTGTTATCAGCACCATGCTCTAACCAGAAAAGAGAGTTTTTAAAAAGTGGTTTTTAAAAATTGGAACACTGTCAAATTTATAGAAAATATCCAAGAACTGTACAAAGACCTTTCTTTTTTGTTGTTGTTGAACTATTCAAGGTTAAGTTGCTGACATGGTGTCTCCAACTCCTTGAGTACTTTAGTTGTATTTCTTGTAAATTAGGATATTCTGCTGTATAACCATAATACAGCTATTAAAATCAGTATTAACACTTGTAACATTACTACCAGCTAATACTCAGACCCCATACGTTTTGCTAATTGTGCTAGTAATTTCCTTTTCTGAAAGGATTAAATCATGCATTTAGTGGTTATGTCTACATAGTCTCCTTAAATCTGAAATAATTCCTCAGTCTTTCCTTAACTTTCATGATCTTGACACTTTGCAAGATTCAGGCCAGTTATTTGGTAGAATGTTCTTGAGTTTGGGTCTGCCTTGATGTATCTTCCTGATTAAATCAGGTCTTGCATCTTTGAGAGGAACATTACAGAAGTAATGCTTTGTTCTTGTTGCGTCCTATCAGGTGGTATGTGATTTTTATTTGTCCCTTTATTGATGATATTTTGGTCACTCATTAAGGTTGTGTCTGCTAAGGTTCTCCATTGTAAAATTATTCCTTTTCACCTCTTTGTAATTAAAAGGCATTAGGTGGTGAGGGTCTTTGAAACCATGCAAATATTTCATTCTTTATCAAACTTTAAATTTATTTATTTATTAATATCTCTATGGACTCATGGTGTTCTATTTTATAGAGTGAATTATAATTTTTTACTATCATTATTTGTTTTTCTTTTTTTTACTTTGATATAATTCCAAACATGTGGAAAAGTTGCAGATTCCTCAGATAATAACATTTTAGTACATTTGCTTTATCCTTCTCTATCTTTTTAGATCTCTCTATATTTCTCTCTCTATATATATCTCCATATGTATGTCTGTCTATTTTTATGTGTGTATGTACAAGGGTACTTCAAAAAGTGTGTGGAAAAATAGAGTTAAAAGGTGATATGAATCTTTCCATGAACATTTTGAAGTACCTTCATATATATCACACACACAAATTTTCAAAAGCCAGTTGAAAGTCAGTTACAGATGTAATGTCCCTTACTTCTAAATACTTCGGTGTACATTTCTTAATTTCAAATACATTCTCTTGCATAACTGTGGTATGGTTAACAAAATCAATTAATATTGATATAATACTGTTCTCTAGTCTGTAAACTTTATTCAGATTTTACCAGTTACCCCTTCATAGCAAAAGAAAATCCTGCGTCATGCACTATATTCAGTTGTCATGTTTCTTTAGTGTCCTTTAATCTGTAATAGTTGCTCAGTTTTTCTTTGTGTTTCATGACACTGGGATTTTTTAAGAGCACAGAGGAGTTATTTTGTAGAATGACTCTGTATTAGTCCATTTGTGTTGCTTATAACAATATGGAACTGGGTGATTTATAAAGAAAAATGAAATTTATTACTTATGGTTTCTGAGGCTGGGAAGTCCAAAGTTAATCTGTTGGTGGCAACAGTTACCCAGGGGTTTCACATTGCAAGATGGTGGAAGCAGAGAGAGCAGAAAGACAGACTCTCCTCTTCTTTTAAAGCCTTCAGAAGCATGCCCCTGACCGCCATTTTTAATCCATTCACTATTGCATGGTCCTACAATCCAATCACCTCTTCAAGGCTCCTCCCTTTGATTACCATAATAGGATTTCCCACTGTCTTAACAGTCACAGTGAGGGCTAAGTTTCTAATACATAAAACTTGGGGAACACAATTCAAGCTTCAGGGAGTTTGCAGGGGACATAATTCAATCCACTACAGACTCTAAATTTGGGTTTGTCTGGTATTTTCTCATGAATAGGCTTAAGTTATACACTTTTGGGAGAAATATTACAGAATTTGCTTGTGTTCTGCTTAGTGCAGCGTATCAGGAAGCCCATAATGTCGATTTCTTTCACGACTGTTGATATCAGCTTTGCTCACTTGTTTAAGGTGGTTTTTACCAATGTAAAGTTAAAAATTTTCCCATTATAATTATAAATATCTTATGGGTAGATACTATGAAAATATATAAATACCCTGTGTACTCAGCAAGATTTTACCCACTAGTTTTAGTATCCATTGATCATTCTTGCCTAGTTAACTACTATTATTATGGGTGCCAAATAGTGACTTTCTAATTCCATCATTTCTACATTTATTAGTTGGCTTTCTACTTGAGGAAAAGATCTTCCTTTTCCCCCACTTGTATATTTATATCAGTGTAGATTCTTAGGTTCTTATTTCATACAACGGGATATGTTCCTTTACTATCCTTATTAATTTTGATGCTCAAACTGTCCCAGATTTGGCTAGTGAGAGCTCCTTTAAGCTGCTCCTGGGTCCTTATCTCTATATAGATACATGTACACATAAGTAAATATATGTGTGTGCATATGTACATATATATCAACACACTCCTACATACATCTCTATCTCTATTAAAACCACAAAACACTGTATATATTAAAAACCAAGCGTTCTTTCAGGTATGTCCAATTCCAGTTTAGAACCACAGGGTTTATTTTATCCTTCCCTCTTTCCATATTTGTAACTCCCTTCTCTGACTATGAGAAACCTTGTTCCCATTATCGAAATGTATTTACTTATATGCTCAGTCCTAGAATACACATAGAATAGTTCTAGAATTTCTGGTTCATACCTCTGTGAAAAAGAGGCTTAGGAGTTAGAGCTCGATATTTGTTCAATATTCTGAGGATATATAGTACAAAATATATTGTGTTCAGAAGTTAACTGGGTGAATTATCCCCCTTCCTCTTTGTGTAATTATGTAATTCTTTGCTGTGAGCTCTATTGTTTCTTTTAAAAAAAAATCTCATCCTTGTTTTGCATACCTCTGTGTATGTAGTACAACATTAACATAATTCCAAATCAGAGTTTTACAAAAAGATAACATCAGAGAAGTATCATTCCCACCCAGCTCCTTGGTTGGACGAAATGCATCTCCTAGTAAATTTGTTAAGAAAACTTAAGAGTACAGAATTTCCTGAGCATGTTTAAACTTTTTCTATGGTGTTCATACTTGGACAGCTTGTTTAGATATAAAAAGCCTTGATTCTCATTTTCTTTCCTGGAGGTTTTTGAAAATACTGCTCCATTGTTTTCTTGCTTTAATGTTTTTGAGAAGGCTGATGCCAGCCTAATTCTCTTGCCCTTGTAAATTATTTGATCATTTTCCTTGGAGGTCTTGAGGAATTTTTCTTTATCTTTACAAACTAATAGTATTAGCAGGATGATTGTTGTAGGTTAATTTTCTCTGGTACCTGGTTGGTCCTTTCTGTACATATGTTCAGGTCTTTTATTGGATTATAGTTTTAAGTATTCATTTTGTTCCATTGTTCTGTTTGTCTTCAGGAACTCTATACATAAATTGGATCTTGGCTTGCTTTCCATATTCCTCTTTATCTTTTTATGTCTTTATTTCAGTTTCATTCTCTTGGTTATTTTTTCACTTTCTTCAGTGTCCCTTACTAAGTGTATTAGTCTGTTTCTGTTGCTCATAACAAGGTACACTGAACTGGGTGATTTATAAAGAAAATGAAATTTATTGCTTACAGTTTCTGAGGCTAAGTCCAAAGTCCATCTGGTGGTGGTGACAGTGACCTAGGGGTCTCACATTGCAAGATGGTGGAAGCAGAGAGAGCAGAGAGCAAAAGGCAGACTCTTCTCTAAAGCCCTCAGAACCATGCCTCTGACCACCATTTTTAATCCATTCACTACTGCATGGTCCTACAATCCAATCACCTCTTCAAGGCTCCACCTTTCAATTACTATAATAGGATCTCCCACCCTCTGAACAGTCACAGTGGAGACTAAGTTTCTAATACATAAAACATGGGGGATACAATTCAAGCTTCAATGAGTTTTGGTGGGACATAATCCAATCCACTGCACTAAGTTTTCATTGAATCTTGCAGTCATTGTAGGCCTGCTGCTTGCTTTCCTCTTCTTTCTTCTGCATACTTCTTCCCAAACTACCCTTGCTCTATGTGAAGGCGTGCAGTGAGAGCATGGGAGATAGCTCACTGGGTTTAGTGTTTGTTTATTTATATATTCTTTACTTATAGGTAGTTTAAAGTTTGAATGTTCTTTGTGTGATAGTTTTATGAAAGTGAATGTATGCTATTACCTAAAATACTCAGAATGAAACAGTATTTTTTTTAACTAGTTAGTTATAGAAGTAATAAGCATACCTTGTAAGAAAACATTTAAATAATATGATAGGATGTATAAAAATGAAGACTAAAAGGCAGATTTCCTCATTCTCCCCCAGATTTGTTAATTATATGATTTTAAAAATTATCAAAGTTGGGCCAAGCCCGTGGCGCACTCGGGAGAGTGCGACGCTGGGAGCGCAGCAGCGCTCCCGCCACGGGTTCGGATCCTATATAGGGATGACTGGTGTGCTCACAGCACTCACTGGCTGAGCGCGGTGCGGCCGGTCTCAAAAAGGACAAAAAAAAAAAAAAAAAAATTATCAAAGTTTATAGTACTTAAATTTTCTTCTGAAGCTACAATGTAGTGTGAAAAATATACTGTTTTGTCCAATAACTGCTTATAGAAATTGGAAATAATATGATTATATAAATATTGTTAATTGTGGAATAAAGTAGAGAGATTATATATATAGAGAAGATGTAATTCTTTGTCATTGCAGTTTTGCTGCTTAATGGAGAATCTTTCATGTATCAAAGTCCTAGGATACCTTTTTAATTTTTTTCTAGATTCCCTCATTTCCTTTGGATCATACTCATTTACCCTTTTGTTTCTTATACATTTTTTGAGCTCTTGCCTATCCAAAAATGTTTTTAAATTTTTCCCTCTCATTTCATTGGTAGTTTGTGTGGCTATAGAATTCTAGGTTCAAAATAATCTTTACTCGGAAATTTGAGCCATTCCTCTCTTGTGTTCTAATATATATTTTATTGATGATAATTTGAGGTAGTCTCATTTTTGATCCTCTTTTTAGGAAACTTATTTTTTTAGAATGTTCTCCTTAATTTTAGAGTTCTGAAATTTCATTAGGCTGTGTATAGATTTGAGTTTTTTCCTTAATTATGTTTGGTTTTTGGTAGGCCCTTACATGCTGAAGACTCCTGTCATTCTTCAGCTTCATTTATTTTTTTGGTCTTTTTTATTCTATACCTATTAGGTGAATTCTGGACCTCTATATATCTCTTTATATCTTTATTTTTTCTGTCACATTTTCCTTTTTTGCTCCTATTTCTGGAAGATTTCCTTAACTTTATTTATCATATCTCTAACTCAGTCTTCACACATGATTTTCAGCCCTTCCATTGAGATTTAAAAAAAAAATTTTTGCAATGCTTTTAATTCCAGAAACTCTTGAGAATTGCCATGTTTGCTGTGATGTTCATTGTAATATGGGCTTTGTTCTACATCTGTGAGCTCCAATTTTATGCTAAGACCCTCTCCAGGCAGATGACCTACTTTCCACAGAGAGTTGTTCTCAGGAATTGTTGATGGCAGAATCTGTCATCAGCTGCTGTATCTGGAGGTACAGATACACTTTATCTTCTTTGGTCCATTTCTGCTTTTTCTTTTTTTTTTTTTTTTTTTTTCTCCAAATATGGAGCTTTTCAGGTATTTCCTTGGGAATATCTGGCTTACTTTTGTTATCTGTGATATGTTTTTTAAAAAATTTTTTGGTTAATCCAATACAGTCTATTGTTGGAATTCCTCAAAATTTCTGGGCTATTGATAGAACTCTTTTAACTTCAAATTTTCTTTACTTATTTTTTAAACAATACCTTTTGTCTGACTTCATTGGCATCTTGGGAGGGAGGGGAAGTAGATTGGAGTACTCAGTCCATCAACTTGAACTAGAAGTGTAAATCATGCTTATGTTTTAAACAGAGAAAACAAAAGGAAAACAACAGTGAAGAATAGAAAATGCTCTCTGTTCTTCTCTCTCTACTCCTTCCAGTCTAGAACTAGTTAAGCAGGAGACATGTCCTTTATAGGGATTAGGTTTATAGATTATTTTAATATTAGGAATGTACTACTATTTAGAATAGGATTTAAAAAGAAAGCTGTTCAAGCACATGCCTTGCTTTTTATTTTTATTATTAACATTTTATTGTTTTATTTCTTAGAAAATTATGTGATTTCCTCTTTTCTAGAAAAAAATGTATCAAAATTCATTATCAGAAACGTATATCCATATATTTTTTGTTTTCCTTTAAACTCTCTTGATGTTACTTTTTTTCAATAGTGTACTTTTCCCAATACTGGTGCTCGTATCATGATGTTCATTGGTGGTCCTGCTACTCAGGGTCCTGGAATGGTAGTTGGAGACGAATTGAAGACACCTATAAGATCATGGCATGACATTGAAAAGGACAATGCCAAATATGTTAAAAAGGGGACTAAGGTAATTTTGGTTTTTAAATCTTTTTCCTTGTTAGAAAATAGATATTCATTTGATGGAAGAGGACGAATACAAATATTTTTTGATAGAAATCTGATATTATGAAGACTGATACTATAAAATTTTATTATAAATAACTAGTCTGTATTGTATTATATACCATAATGTATTATATGTAAAATAGTCTGCTATTCAAAACTGGAGAAATGGTCTTTTTTTTTTCTTGATAACTTAATACAATTTTTCTGGTTTGAAATATTTAAAGACTTAATAGTAGGTACTAATAGGTATCTCCTTAAAGATTACCCCAAGAGAAACCCTCTGAGAAACCCTTGGTACCTTTTTAATATTCATGTTGAAAAATATCTTTCTCTGTAAGAAAAGTTTTTAAATTTCCAAGTATTTTAAATTTAAAGTATTTTAAATTTCCAAGAGGCAGTCCCTAATGTTTCCTCTAGATATGTATATTGTTCATAGCTTAAATAGCCGATCATTTTCTGTAAATTGTTTTCTGTTCATCTAACTTCAGTTTTTTGGGGTTTGTACAAGTTCATTTCTCTAATATTGATTCTTTTTTCTTTTATTTGGCAATTGGCTAGTACTGGGATCTGAACCCTTGACTGGTGTTACAACACTGTGTTCTAACCAACTGAGTTAACTGGCCAGCCTGATTTTTGATTCTATTATTTTGGTTTTGTTAATGTCCCTGTTAATTTTTTTTAAAAAAATTCTCTAGAGTTCACAGTTTTAGTTTAGTTGTGCTGTATTATCTCATAGTTATTTTTGGTAGTCATTATTATTTTTTTAAAAAGTTATTAATGATAGATAATTTTAGTGGATGCTTTTTTCTGCCAACTAATTTCCCTTTTGACCTTCCTTGAAATTTTTGTTGATTAGAGCTTTGAAAATGTTTTAGATTTACTTATCTTACTGATTTTTAAAAAATTATTATTTTCTTGCTGCCTTTTGTATTGTCTCTCTATTTTTGGATGTTTTTGTTACTTGGGTGTGGATTTAGCAAGGAAAAAGAGTTCTGTGTTGTTCTTCTACCACGTTAATAGACAAAGAGCAAGATGTTCAGTATGCCTTTCTTCAAATTTAGCTCCATTTAGAGCATTTATCTTGGAAGAGAGCTTCTTTTTCTTAATTAAAAAAATTTTTTTTCTTATGTGCCCTTTATCAAATTGATGAAGTTCTTTTATTCCTGGTTTGCTGAGTTTTTGTCATGAATGGGTGTTGAATTTAAAGTAGCTTTTAAAGAAAAGAATGTGAAAATATGAGACTTACACAAGTTATTGCATCATTTTATGAGATATTATAGAAAATTAAATATAAACAAATTTAAATTATGGATTATTCTTTTAGTCTTTCTTAGATAATTTTGATATGTTAATGGGAAAAAGATTTATAGGATGATTAATGTTATATATTACTTTGATTTAATTTTAAAAAATCTTTCTTAGCATTTTGAAGCACTGGCTAATCGAGCTGCTACGACTGGCCATGTGATTGATATCTATGCGTGTGCACTAGATCAGACAGGTCTCTTGGAGATGAAATGCTGTCCCAACCTTACTGGGTATGTATTTAAATTTTTACAGTTTTTGTAATTATAAACTAATAATGACAGTTTACAAATATAAACCAATGATGACAGTTTAGGGAAAAAAAAGAGTCATTGTCCTACCACATCAGGGCAACATCTGTTAAGTTTTTGATATTCCTTTCAGTAAAACTCACTTAAATCTTTTTTCTAAAGTACAGCTGTACAGTTGCAAATTTGTAAATTTTGTTTAAAAAGCTCACTTTGATATCCTGAAGTCATTTATTTTATTTGATGATTTTAGTAGCATTTTTGAGATATAATTTATATACCATAAATTTACTCACCTGAAGCATACAATTTGATGGCTTTTAGTTTATTCATAGATTGCACAACCATCACCATGTTGCACCACCATCACCATAATTTAATTTTAGAACATTCGCATTACCTCAGAAACTCTGTATCCATTAGTGGTCACTCCCCATTCCTCCCTCCCATTCTCTCAGTCCTATGCATCCACTTATTGCCCATTCTGGACATTTTATATAAATGGAATCACACGATAGGTGGTCTTTTGTGACTGGCTTCTTTTACTCAGCATGTTTTCAAAGTTCATCCATATTTTAGAATGTATCAGTATTTTATTTTTTTATTTTTTTTATTTTTTCCTTTTTCGTCTTTTTTCGTGTCCAGCAACGGATCGCAACCCTCAGTGTCGCGCCCGTACCGGACCGGGACCGGCAACGGAATCGCAACCCTCGGTGTTGCTCCCACACCTCGCTCAGCCAGTGAGCGGGAACTGGTCTGTATGTGGGATCTGAACCCTCGGCGGGAGCGCCACCGCGCTTCTAAGCGGCGCACTGTAGCAGTGCGCCAGCGGGCCGGCCCAGTATTTTATTTTTTTATTGCTGAATAAAAAAGTGAAGAAGTCCAACTTCATTTAATAATATTCCATTCTATGAATACTTAACATTTTGTTTATTAATCCATCAATTAATGAACATTTTATTTCTGCTTTTTGGCTATTATGAATAATGCTGCTTTGAACATTGTGTGCAGGTTTTTGTGTGGACATGATGTTTTTGTTTCTCTTAGATAAATGCCCAAGAGAGTAATAGTTGGGTCAAGTAGTAATCTATGTTTAACATTTTGAGGAACTGGCAGACTGTTTTTTAAGGTGACTGAACCAGTTTACATTCTCACTACCAAAGTATGAGGATTCCAATTTCTTCACATTCTCATCAGCACTTGTTATTGTCTGTCTTTTTGGTGACAGCTGTCCTAGTGGGTGTGAAGTGTTATCTTGTGGTTTTGGTTTGCACTATTCATGATGTTGAGCATCTTTTTATGTGTTTATTTTTTATTTGTATATATTTTTTTGAGAAGTGTCTATTTAGCTCTTTTGTCCCCTTCCCTTTTTTTTTGGCAGCTGACCAATACAGGGAGCTTTTGCCCATTTTTAAATAGGGTTATTTATTTTCTTTTTATGGAATTATAAAAGTTCTTTCTGGTTTAAGTATTCTGGATACAAGTTCCTTATCAGATATATGATTTACAGGTATTTTCTTCTATGTGTTTTCTTCTCACTTTTTTGATGGTATTGTTTGCAGCACAAAAGTTTTTAATTTTGATGAAGTCTAGTTCATATTTTTTCTTTTGTTCACTATGCTTTTGTATCTTATTTAAGAAACCATTACCTAAACCAAGAGCATGAAGATCTATTTCTGTGTTTTCTTCTAAGAGTTTTCCAGTTTTGTAGTTTTAGCTCTTATATTTAGGGCATTTGTTTGAATTTGGATCTCCAGTTGTCCCAGCATCATTGGTTGAAAAGACCATTCTTTTTCCATTGAATTGTTTTGGCACCCTTATTGAAAATTAACCTATCATAAATTTAAGGGTTTGTTTATAGACCTTTAATTCTGTTCCATTGATCTATATGTCTATTCTTTTGTCAGTACCACAATATCTTCCTGTAGATTTGTAGTAAGTTTTGGGATTGGGAAGTATGAGTCCTCCAACCATGTTCTTTCCATTTTTTTTTCCCCCCAGGATTTTTGTTTATTCTAAGAGAGCTCTTTCTTTTTTTTTGGGGTGGCTGTCCTGTTCGGAGATCCAAACCCATGACATTGGTATTATAAGACTGTACCAAGACCAACTACCAACTGTGCTTGTCTGTTTCTCCAAAAAAAGCAGTTGGACTTTTTAATAGAGATTTTATTGAATTTGTAGATTTTGGGGGGAGTATTGTGATCTTAAACATTATCTTATCTATGAACATGGGATATCTGTTTATTTCGATATTCTTTAATTTCTTTGAACAATGTTTTGTAGTTTTCAGTCAATCAGTCTTGCAATTCTTTTGTTAAATTTAATCCTAAGTATTTTATTCTTTTTGATGCTATTGTAAATGGAATTGTTTTTTAAATTTTTTTTTCTTTTTTTGATTTTGACAGCTAACTGGTAAGGTGTTTTTTAAATTTTATTTTCATATTGTTTATTGCTAGTGTTAGAAACACAATTGATTTTTATATAATATTGATCTTGTACCCTGTAGCTTTGCTGAACTTATTGATTAGTTTTAATAGATTTTTTGTGGATTTCTTAGGATTTTCTATATATATAAGATTATGTTATTTGCAAATAGGGATTTATTTCTTCCTATCTGGATGCCTTTTATTTCTTTTTCTTGCCTAATTACTCTACCTGGAATGTCCAGTACAATGTTGAATAAAAGTGATAAGAGTGGACATCCTCGTGTTCTTATCTTAGGGAGACACCATTTAGTCTTTTGGCAGTAAGTATGATGTTGGGTGTGGGTTTTATTTCTGTTTTTTGGCAGCTGGCCTTAGCTATGGGTTTCAGTAGAAGCCTTTTATCACATTGAAGCTCCCTTCCATTCCTAGTTTGTTGAGTATTTTTTTTTTAATGAAAGGGTGTTAGATTTTGTTAAGTCCTTTTTCTACATCTATTAAGAGAATCATATGATTTTTTGTCCTTTATTTTATTAATATGGTATATTACATTGGCTTTTGTATTTAATTAACTAACTAATTAATTAATTAATTTAGAAGATGACTGGTAAGGGGATCTTAACCCTTGACTTGGTGTTGTCAGCACCACGCTCTCTGAAGTGAGCTAACCAGCCATCCCTATATAGGGATCCAAACCCGTGGCCTTGGTGTTATCAACACCACGCTGTCTCCCAACTGAGCCATGGGCCGGCCCTGATTCTTGTATTTTAAACCTATCTTACATTTGCTGGGATGAATCTCACTTGGTCATGGTGTACAATCCTTTTTATATTTTGATGGATTCAGTTTGCTAGTATCTTCTTGAGGATTTTTTGCATGTATCTTCATAGAGGATATTGATCTGTAGTTTTCTCGTGATGTCTTTCTTTGTTGTTGGTATCAGGGTATAACTGGCTTCATAGAATAAGTTGGGAATTGTTCCCTCTTCTTCCTCTAGCAGTCATTATTTCTGAGATAATTTAATTAGGCTTTGAAAAACTCAGATTAGTCAACTCATTTTTCTCGCTTTTTTTATCTAATATACTCATCTAATAAATATTAACATGCACCTACTGTGTACCAAAACGTTCAAGGCACTAAGATACAGCAGTGAACTAAACATAAAAATTTCTGTTGAGCTTATCTTTAGTGCAGGGCTCTTCAGTGTAATTTTCTAATGGATATAGTCTCTGTGCTGTGTCATTGAAATGTGGCGAGTGTGACTGAGGAACTACAGTTGTGATTTTATTTAATCTGAATTGATTTATGTTTAAATTTAATTATCCAAATGTTGGATGGTACAGTTCTAAAGAGAGGAGGTGAGATAAGTATAGTAGATAGGATGTCAGATGGTGGTAGTGTTAGGAAGAAAAATAAGTCAGGAATGGAGGATGGAGTTTGCAGTTCTAAGTAGTATGAGAAGGGAGGGCCTCACTGCAGGTGGTGTTTTAGCAAAGACTTAAGGAAGTGAGAGAGTGAGCCACGTGCGTATATGAAAGAAGAGTGTTCCAAGCAGAGGGTAAGGGAAAAGTTGAGAATATACCTGTGGTGTCTGAGCTATACCAAGGAGGCCAAAGTAGCTGGAGCACAATGAGTGAGGAGGGAAAATCGTAAGGGCCTTTGTACTGTCTTAAGGGCTTTGGGTTGTATTTTGAGTGAGATGGGAAGACATTGGAGAGTTTCCAGCAGAGGATTGATATATCTCACTCAATGTTTTGAAAGGATCACTGACTTTGTTTGTCTTTAGTAGAGTATAGGGATGCAAGAATACCAAGTGGTGGTAGCACAGGTGGTGGGAAGTAGTTGGATTTTGGATGTAGTTAGAAAGTAGAGGATATTGCAGATAGATTAGATCCTGGGGTGTGAGAAAACCAAAGGAATCTACTAGAAGGATTGAGTTACCCTTTATTGAAATGGGTAAGACTGTGGGAGGAAGAGTATTTGGGAAGAAGATTGAGGGTTCAGTTCTGAATATGTTTGGTTTGAGATGCCAGTTAGACATCCAGGAGGAGATGCCAAGGAGGCAGTTGGATATTGCAATCTGGAATGCAGGAGATGGTCTGGGCTGGAGACATAACTGTGGGAGTTGTCAGACTATTGATCGATTTTTTTAAGACAATGAAAATGGATGAGATTGTGAAGGAATTAGGAGTAGACAGGAAGTGAATATGTTTCAGGACTAAGCTGTGGCCACATATCTTTAAGGAAATGAGGAGGAACAATAAAGGACACTGAGAGCTGGTTTGGGAAGTGTGAAAACTACTGGAAGCTCAGTGGAGAAAGTGTTTCAAGGTAGACGGTATGGTCAACTATGTCAAATATTACAGAGAGATCCAAAATAATGAGGAGTGAAGATAGTGCAGGTTAACACACTGCAAGGTTATTGGTGACCTTACTAAGAGCAGTGAAAGTTGAGCTAGAGTGAGTTAGAAAAAGAACAGGAGAAGGGGATTGGGAGCAGCTGATACAGACCATCACCTCTCAGGCTTTAACATGTATAGATCAGCTGGGTATCTTCTTAAAATATAGATTCTGATTTAGAATATATAGGATGGGGCTTGAAACTATGATTTTTAAACAGAATCCCTGGTGATGCTAATATTGCTGGACCAAGGACCATACTTTCAGTAGTAAGAGTATGGACAACTCTTTCATAGTGGTTTACTGTAGCAGAGGTCAGAGAAGTAGGGTGGTATAAGTTGTCATTAATCTAGAATGCATTATCAGGTGTTATGATAACATATATCATCATAGATGACATGTCTGTAAAGAAGAAAATCTGAAAGAGTGTACACAAAAACTATTAGAATTAATGTGTGAAGTTGGCAAGACTTCTGGATCAAGGTCAGTATACAGAGTTGAACTTTATTTTTATAAATCAGCAACGTAAATAGAAAACAAAATTTAAAAAGATACAGTCTCTAATAGCATCAGAGTTAACATAAATCAAAACTTTAAACAATATCAAAAGTAAAATTGCTATTAGTTACACCACATCAATTTTATTCTTTTGCCTATTTTAATTATTGATTTTATCTTATTTAAAAATACTTAAGATTTTTTAAAAATATGAGCAAATATATGTAAATATTTGTATGCATGTATATATTCCTCTTTTTATATAAACAGTGGCATATTCTACACACCTCCCCCCACTTTACCTTTTCACTTATATCCTGGAAATCAGTGTGTAACAGTGCATTACTCCATTGTGTGGATGTATCATATTTTATCCAACTAGTCTCTAACAGATAGTCATTTGGATTGTTTCCAATATTTTATTATTATGAGTAGTGCCTCAGTGAATAACCTTGTGCATATATTTTGCTTTTTGTTTTTGTGTTGCCAGAATATTTTTAGGATAGATTCCTAATAGTGAGGTGGCTGAAGAAAATAAGTATGTAGGGGCCGGCCCGGTGGTGCACTGGATAGTGCGCCGCTTGGGAAGCGCGGCGGCACTCCCGCCCGAGGGTTCGGATCCCACATACAGACCGGTTCCTGCTCACTGGCTGAGTGAGGCGCGGGAGCAACGCCGAGGGTTGCGATCCCGTTGCCGGTCCCCGGTCCGGTACGGGCGCGACACTGAGGGTTGCGATCCGTTGCCGGACACGGAAAAAGACAAAAAAAAAAAAAAGAAAATAAGTATGTAATTTTGTCAGATATTTTCAAGTTCTCCTGCATTGGGGTTGCACCATTTTGCTTTCCTACCAGCAGTATATGAGAGGGCCTGTTTTTCCACTGCTTCACCGACAGAACATGTTGTCAAACTGTGATTTTGCCAATAAGAGAAGAGATAGTATCTCAGAATAGTTTTTATTTGGTTTATTTTTTTAGAATAGTTTTTACTTGCAAATTAATGTTTTTTAAAACTCTTTTTTTTAATAAAAGAAGTAGGGGGCCGGCCCCGTGGCTTACTCAGGAGAGTGCGGCGCTGGGAGCGCAGTGACGCTCCCGCCGTGGGTTTGGATCCTATATAGGAATGGCCGCGCAGTGACGCTCCCGCCGTGGGTTTGGATCCTATATAGGAATGGCCGGTGCGCTCACTGGCTGAGCACAGTGCAGGTGACACCACACCAAGGGTTGCGATCCCCTTACCGGCCACGAAAAAGACAAAAAAAGAAGTAGGTGCATGCTTACTGAACGAAATTTAAACAATATGTAAGTGCATAAAGTGAAAATACTCCCTTACTGTCCCTCTATTCTCATTCATTATAACACAGAAAAGTTCATTGTGTCACACACAGAAACAGTATGCATGCATATACTTGTATATGCACACGTGTATTTGTTTTTAAGAATGAGAATGCATGCCATAAATTGTCAGGTATCTTCACTAATATGGAGAATGGAGAGGCCGAGGTGGAAGAGACACATTTGTTACTGTATATCCTTTTCTACCTTTTGAATTTTGTAATGTGTGGATATATTACCTATTTAAAGAAGAATTAAAAAAAAATTACCGAGGATAAATACAAGTGTTAGGGATACTCAAATACTTTCAGAATTGAAATTATTTTGGGGGTGGGGATAATCTCATATATATTTTAGTTTTAAAAATTAACAGTAGGGCTGGCCAGTTAGCTCATTTGGTTAGAGTGCAGTGCTGGTAACTCCAAGGTCAAGAATTCAGACCTCCATACTGGCCTGCTGCCAGTAAAAAAGAAAAACATAATACAGCACATTTTGGGAAATATCTTTAAAATTTGTTCGTAGTCTTGAGAGGGAATTTATTTTTCTGGTTTTATAACATGTCAACCTAGTAACTGTCATATTACATTGATTTTTTGTTCTTTCCATGCAGAGGATACATGGTAATGGGTGACTCTTTCAACACTTCCTTATTCAAGCAAACTTTTCAAAGAGTCTTTACCAAAGACATGCATGGACAGTTTAAAATGGGCTTTGGTGGTACATTGGAAATAAAGGTAAGCAAAATGACGTGTATGATATGTTATCAAGAGAGAAATTTGTAATGTTTCACTGTAATGTTAAAATATCATTAATCAAATTCAGTATGTATTTTTTATATATGTATTTGTATATGTGTATACATATATTTTTAAATTTTCTTAATTTTTGATTGAAACATAACTGATTGTACATATCTGTGGGGTACAGAGTTGAATACCAATACCTGTATGCAATATGTGATGCTCAAATCACGATAATTAATATATTCAACTTTACAGAATGTAATCATTTTTTGTAGCCCTTTACCAATTTCTCACTAACCCGTTCCTCCCTTTTTCCCACAGTATATGTTTTTAAAATAGTGGTTATTTTATATTGAAACTAGAGTTAGAGATTTTGTTCACCGGGAAAATGTCGCTATTAAATGTACAGTCAGACTTTACTTGAGCATTTCTGAGTAATTGTTAGAAAAGTAGAACAATATAGATAAATTTTTCTTTAATTCTGTATTTCTTTTATATAGGGTTTAAGTATGTTTATCTTTTGTAGTGTTAAATTTATGTTAGGCTAGGTTTTTTTAATGGAAAGAATTGTTATCTAACTTAAGAGGAAACTGTTCTTTGCCATTTGGATAATCAGTAATTGTTTTATGGTTAGTTGTTATTTTATAATTCTATCATTCATTTCAAATTTGGATTTAAAAAATGCAGAGATGCAGAGACTTATTGTTATTTACAAGTGTATTTACAAGCACATTGATTTTGAATTTTCATTAAGTGTTTTTTATTAATCTTGTTATTTTAATTAATGCTTGCTATATGCCCAGCATTATGCTAGGGAATTGTAGTGACATCAACAGATATCTAAGGTACAGGTCTTGTTGTAGAAAAACTTAGCCTTGATAGAAAGACAAGCCCAACACATGTGATAATGAAATAACAGTAGATTATAAAAGTGCTATAAAGGTTTAGAGAAGAAAACAATGTATGTAGGATACAGTTTATCCTAGGGGAGTGTAATTTACAGTGGTTTTTGAAAGGTGGCAGAGAAGAATGCATTTTACTTGGGAGCCTAGTGTGAGGAGAGGCATAGAGGGTGACAATCAGCTTGGTATGTTTGAGAAAACTGCCTAGTGAGAGTGGATGGTTTATACTGGAATATAAGGGAAATAGGTTTAATTATGTGAGTAGTTGTAGTTTGGAGGTGCATGTGTAGGTAGAAGTTATTGTAGGTTAATGAAGAGCAGGATTTTGGGTAAAATTCCTCTGATAGTTGTATTCAGGATGTCAGGAAAACAAATCTCAAGTAAGGAAACTGAAATAGGCTTTCTAATTTTTTAGATGAAAGGTATTGTGATAGCTTAAAATTTGGTGGCACTGGAGACTGGAGAGAGACCAATCTTGGTGATAGATTTTCACTAAGGGAGGAGACATAGAAGATGGTGTCTAATGTTTTGGGTTAGGATGTGAATTTTTGGTAGGAATGAATTTGAATTCAGGGTGAGGTTCCTAAATGGAGACCGCCTATGTGCTGATGGAAATAAGATTAGTTTCGTGCTAGATTTCAAACTTAGGGGTTATCAGCATAGAAGTGCTCATTGATTTATTTTTTTATTATTTTTTTTTGTGGCTGGCCTGTGTGGGTTTCCGAACCATTGACCTTGTTGTTATAACACTGTGCTCTAACAAACTGAGCTTACTAGCCAGTCTTGATTAATTATTTTTAATGTTAGTATATTTTCATTGAATTTTGAATTTTAAATATAGAAGAATATCTGATATTCTCATATACTTGTAGTTGAACATTTGAACTTATCTTTGAGGAAACCAAACATACTATATTCTTATTTTGCAGACCTCAAGGGAAATAAAGATTTCAGGAGCTATTGGACCCTGTGTGTCTCTCAATTCTAAAGGACCCTGTGTATCTGAAAATGTAAGTGACCTTTATTCTAAGAAGAAAATACACTTAATTCTCAGGGCAGCATGAACAAAGGCCTGGGTTGGCATTCTATAGCATTCCTTTCAAAATTATTGTAGGGGCTCTTTTATGTGGTTTAGCTTCCTTTAGTATACCTCTATTTGTGGTTGCCTTTTCTGAATACCATTTTCCCATCTACCCCTAAATTAAAACTATTGCACTGTCACCAGTCTTCTATTTTTTATGCCTGTTATTCCTTGTCCCAGTGTTTCTTAACAAAAAATTCTTATGATTTGGAAATTTGAAGACTTCTGAAAGTTAAAATTAATTCCAAATTGATTTTTGTTACCAGAAATTTCCAACAGTGTAAGCCAGCTTACTTTTAAATTTTCCAACAAATTTAGCTAGATTTAAATTTCAATTCATTTCTTTCTTTTTATCTCATCCAGTGGAGTTATAATGCACTCTAAAACAGTAAAATCATGTAGCTGTAGAAAGGATGGTGGGACTAGTGACACAAAGTGGGTAATCAGCTTTAAAAGTGACAAAGTTAAAAAATTAATTTATAAGCAGTTTGCATAGTAAAGATCTATAAGAAGTTTTCTTGGGAATTAGACTGCTTACAGTTCTCATCCAGAGAACCTGTATTCATATGAGCATATATTACGTGTTGAATCAATAGCTCTTTAAACAGATCATATACTTGTTGATAGATAGAAAGATAATGTTAGGAGTGAGGTGCGCCGGACCGGCCCAACGCTGCGAGCTCTGTGAGTCACCCCCAGCCCAGCCCCACTTGCGGGGCGAAGCCCGACTGCTCCCCGCCCGCCTGGCTCCCGCCTACCACACCAGGCTAGGCGCCCACAGCAGAGCTGCCTCCATTTTCTCGGGTGGGGGTGGAGACGGACGGCTTAGTGAGGGCAGGCCAGCCATTCCGGTTGGCTTGGCTCCGCACTGAGATGTGCCATTTGCTTACCTCGATGCGGGGCACCCCGGGGCCTGTGGACCGGCCTACAATCCCACTCTCCCTGCGGATCTCAGACGGGGCTGGTAGCGTGGGGAGCCCCCGGCCAGCGTCGGGGGGGCAGGGAAGAGGAGCCCACCCAGATCGTCTCTCTGCCACACCCTGGGCGTTGGCCCCAGATAAACTCCCTCTTCCCAGGAG